TACTTAATACTTCTTATCTAGATAAATTTATATGTGTGTAATAAGAGGTCTTATTGAACATTGCCACATTGCTCCTAATTAGATAATATCTATAGATGCAAGAGTGAAGCCTTCTTTTTTCTTGATAATACTTTTCTTATTTCTAGTCTAGTTGAAAGAATCTCTTACTTTTTTATCTTTTAATAATAAATATTTTAATTCTTCTTCAATATGAATATTTACTTGTTTCTTTTTTTTCATCTTTTTTTTTTTTTGATTTTGATTTTGATTTTGATTTTTTTTTACATTCTTTAAATTCTTATCTTTAATAGATAGACAAGAGTATTCTTACAATATCAAATCTTTATCTTTTCTTTATTAAGAGTGGATTTTTTTTTTTTCTCGATAAGACATGAGCATATTAGAAGTCATAGATTACTCACTTTTAAACTTATATTGTTCTTAGAATTTTTTTAATCTCAAGTCTTTTATTTTACTTGTCTTAAATGATATTAGATATCTTATTTTTTTATTATGTTATTATAACAAAGCTTATTGAAATAAAGACTGCAATGGTTTAGATGTAAGAACAAATAGAGGAATTAATGCTTGCATTGCATCAACTCAATTTACCACCACAAAGAGCAACATGATTGGCAAAAAGATTTAGAGATAATTGGAGCTACTTCAATATTCTAATTTCTTCAAACATATGTATTCATTTATTTTCTTTTTTTCATCTTTTTTTAAAAATATCTCATTTATTTATTTAATTTTTTAGAATTCTTATCTTTAATATCTTAAAATTAAAAAAATTAATATAAAATTAAAATCATCTAATGTTTTGTATATTTATATTCAATATTTTTGCTTTAAGCTAGAACTTCCATTATTTTTTTAAAAAATAAAAAATAATAATAGGATATAATTTAATTCTAATATAAAAGTCTTTTGATTAAAGATTAAGTTTTAATTTTTTTTCTTTGATATATATATAGTAATAATGTATGTATTTGATGTATTGTATTTCTTTATTATAAAAATTATAGTGCTCTATCATTGAATGATGGACTTAAAAATAATATTTTAAGATCTAATTAAATATTTTTTCTATATATATAATAAATCCATATTATATATATATATATATATATATATATATATATATAAGATATTATTTAGGTCCAATTTCTTTCTATTCTTAATTTATTATTTGATCTTATAGTATCAATTTGTAATTAGGAATTAAAACCCATTTAAAATATGACCAAAATTTTGTGTAGCTTTATTATATAACTTGTATTATTTTGTTCTTTTTGAGATTTTGGATGTTGGAATGTTATGAATGAAGTACTTTCACTACCTATCTGCATTGTGATGTAGTCATGACTTATTTAAGATTAATTTAAAGCTTTATATTTCTTAGACTTACAATAAATATTCTATACAACCTTAGCTTGTGCAAGTAGTTCTATGTTTTCTCATGTCAAGTTTTTAATAATTGCTTATAATCTATATATGGCTTTTAAAGAACCTATCAATTATTGAAATAAATAAAGATATAATTAAGAAAAAAATATTTTTGGCTAGAATGTTTATATTAGATACATTAGGCTTCATAAAGCACCTATTGTCTAATTAATTTTAAAATCAATTTATCAAGAATTGGTCTATTTTTTCCTATTTAAAGACTCAACCATACAGAGTATTAAAGTACTTACAAATTTCTTGATTGTTTTTTTAAGTCAATTAAACTAAATAGATCAATAGAATCTTTGTTCTTTCTTGTTATGCCAAGAAGCAGCAAAGAGATTTTATATTTTTAAAAAGTCATTGTAAAAATGTATTGCAATAAAAATATTTTATGTGCAAGCCTTGTTGTTACTAAGAAGCTTCTATAAGTCTATTTATTAGTTAGCTAAAAGGAAAAAAATAATTAGGCTATTTTTAGTTTGATCAATATTTTATTATATCTAATATTTGATTAAAAAATTCTTAGTTTTTTATAATTAATAATAGTTATTTTGATAATTTTATACTTTACTAAATATATATATTTTAAAGATTTTTTCTTAATTATTAGTTATTCATTTAATAAGCTTACATAGAGTCATGGTATTAATCTTATACTGTGATATTATAAATAATTTTAATAAGAATTAAGGTTTAAAAATTAGAACTAGATAGAGTAATTGAAGCATTTAAATCTAAACCATATTATGACTGTATGACAAAATCTTGTACTTTTGAAATGGATACCAGACATGTAACATTTTCATTTTATTTATTTATTTATTTATTTATAATCATTCATAAGTCACCAACATGCAAAGATGATAATGCAGTTAATTTATAAAAAAAATCTGTTTGTTTTACAATAAATCAATAAAATATTTAATAAAAATGCAAAGAGATGGAATCTGATCTTCTGATGCAAATTTTTTATACTTCTTTTGAATTTTTGCCAATATTATTTTTAAAATGTATTACATATAAGTTTTTATATAATTATGCTTTAAATTTTATTATAAAATTTAGGTGAAACAAAGAATATTTTCACGATTATGGACTAAAACAAGTTCATCTATTTTATTATCCAGATTTCAACAATTTTATAATATAATTTTTCTCTTAGGAACATCTTATCAAAAAAAAATTATTAAATGTAGTTTTATGGAATTTTACATATTTTAATTATATCTTATTTATTTAATTAATAAAAATATTTTTTTATAAAAAAAAGTGTGTTTCTAAGCACAATATGCTAAGGTTGCATTTCTTTGGTATTTTTTATTTCCATATTTTGTACGTATATAGAAATTAAATTAGATTTTAAAGTATTAAAATAAAAAGAATAAAATTACTATAAAGATTATGATGTGTTTTATCTATGAATAAGAAGATGTCAAACCCATAAACCCATAAACCCTAAGATTGTAGCGTTAAGAAAATAAATAAATAAGCAATAAGTTATATCAATTAATTCAAAGATGTGGTTGAAACATAAGACTATTTTTCTTTCTTTCAATTTTAGAAAAAAAAATAAAAAAATAAAAAATAGAGGTTGTAAATTTAACCTTGTGTTGCTTTATTTGTTTACACTAAACAATTTTTTTGGTATTAATAAGCTTTAATCCATATTTTGGACAGCCTATGATACAAAAAAAATCACTTTTCTAAAAAAGAGTGGGATGAACATGAAGTTAATTAGGTAATGTATTCAAAATAACTTTACAAAGACAAAAATATTTTATGAAGTCACAAAGGATAAACTTCATACTACTAAGATTATAATAAACACAAAACTCTAAATCATGATACATATTTATAACCTAATAAAAGTGTAAATAGATAAGTATAAATAGATAATGAAATATCTAATAAAATACTATTAAAATTTCAACAACTATGGAAGTGACTTTCTAAATCACATAGTATAAATAGATAAGTACTTATAAAAATAAGTAAATAGATACTTCTGTAGTTGTTAAATTTTTAATAGCAAAAAGAATAAAATCTGATTTTTTTTATGAAATTATTTTTTATTTTACTTCTTTTCTTTACTTGAAACTTGTAACTTGGAACTTGAACATGTTGCAAAAAATAAAATAAAATAAAATAATAGAAAACAAATTCTATGTGCAGAATTATAATTTAAAAAATAAACAATCTATATTTGGACTTGATAAGAAACTTCCCATCTTAAAAGCACATAAGATCATATTTTGGAAAAAAATAGTAGTCACATTAACCAAAAAAACTAATTCATATTATATTAAAAAAAAAAAAAAAAAAAAAAAAAACACCTAAGAAGTACGTAAATCAAAAGAAGTAAATTCTTAAGTGGAACAATTTTTTATAGGGTATTATTTGAGAAAATATTCACAAAATTAAATCTTCTAACAGAATGATTTTGATCATAATTGTTCTCTGTGAATAGGGAGTTAATGCACAAATTATATATATGTATATATATGGCTAATATATATATATATATATATATATATTTATTTATTTATTTCTGTTAATAGATGTTTTATTTCTTATTTTATTTGCAAGAAATTAGATTTTTTTATTTTTTATTTTTTATTTTTTGTAATATGCTCTGGAAGCTAGATCTTCAGTTTATTCAAGCAAACAGAATGCCAAGAAATAAAAATAAGGGTTCTTGTATGAAACATTCCCTTTGAATTACGTTCTGTATAGTAGTTCTACAGTAAACAATTCATTTAAAACAAGAATTCCTCTTTTGTATTGGTAAAATTATGAAGAAAGAAAAAGAAAACCACAAATTAAAAACGACAGTAAAAGCTAAACTACTATCGAAAAGACCATAGCAATAAAATAAAGAAGCAGTTGTTAAATTCTAAATTTAATTCAAGTATTTTTTGGGAAAAACACACCATAGTGGCTATCATCACGTAGTTAACACCTTTGAACCAACTCGTAGACCCTACCTTAAACCACCCTTGCACAAACCCCCACAGGCATTCTTTATGTAGAAAGATTCCAAGTCCATTCCAAACCAACTAATGATTGACAAACTTTACAAGGATGACATTGGTGGTTTAGTGTGATGGAGGTTGTGGTTTAATATGTTTTTATGAACTGTTTTGCACAAGTCTATGTGTTGGTTCAAGGGTCAAATGCAAAAATTGCTATGTTAATTTTTTTTCAATTAAACCATTGTGACAATTCGTTTCTTTTCTGTTGGAGCTTATCAAAACCTTCTTTCTCCACCATAATTTTTTTCTGTTCTTTTCCAAACCCCTCCCCCCAAGATAGCTGAAAAACCTTAAGTTGACGTTTTAAGGTATTCCGACATTAGTTAGTCAAGGAACATGGAATTGTTTGGGGACATGTACAATGGCCAGCCAGGCTGGGTGGGACTGAGGCGGAGGAAGAAAGGGGATGCAAAGCCGTGAAGAAAGCGGACATGGGAGCCCCCGCCGCGTCGGTCGGTGGATAATGCGACCCCCCCCAACTTAGCCATTGCGGCGCCTCGAGCGCCAAACGAGGCAGAGTTCCGATTCCAGCAGCAGAAGCAGCACCACGCCGCAAGGAACTTCGATCTGCGCTGCTGTCGATGGAATGCGATGATGCGATGCGATTGTCGCACCCACCCGCCCATGTACCCACCCGCTCTGCACTGCTCTGGACTGCTCTGCCGTTTTTGCACCACCAGCATCAACATCGCCCCGGATTGGCAATTCTGGCGTCGCTGACGCCTTCCGCCCTCCAAGTGGGCCAGATTCCACCCTATCCCACACGCCTCATATGCCTGCCCCTTGGGCTTTTCTGGCTCTTTGGCCCCACTTCACTCGTCCCTAAGCTTTGACAGTTTTAGCCATGCTTCTGCAGCGAGGCTCTAGCGCCGCCTCACATGGGACGCTGCACAAAAAGTTCGCTCAGTCTTGCTGTCTTTGATGTGCCCCAGAAATGGTGGCCTTAAGTTGGGGGTGCGATGGAATGCCACTTTGGCGCCCTGAACCTGGAATAGTTGACTTGGGATGGACGAGCATCTAGAATTGTTGAATGACTAGTTGCGAGAGAGTAGGTTTCATCTTCAACCATGACGAATCAGCCATACTTATAGTGTGTGCGCTGACCACCCGCAAAGGGGTGCCTCCGGAGGTGTTGTGTGTGCACTCAGTTGCCAGGTTGCTTGAGCGGGTGGAAAGTAGTGAGAATTGTGGGGTGAATCAACTTTGTGGCGATGGGGGTTGATGGAAGTGATGGTGGATATCCTTTGGAGTGCATCAACATGGCCTCGCCCGACAAACACGAAACTGCAGCTCGAGTTCGGGAGGTGAACGCTTGTTGCATGTAAATCTGTGCGGAGGATTTTCTTATGAAGCAACCGTGGATCCGAGAGGGGAATTTTCATTTTCTTCCAGACCTAGTCGCTAATAAGGGTTTAGGTCATTGCTCGCAGGGAATAATTTTGTTGCCGCCATGTGCAGGCGTGTGTGACCTCTGGATTCTTCTATCTCGTGAACCACGGCGTAGACTCGGCATTGCTCGATGAAGTCTTTGTACAGAGCAAGAAATTCTTCGCTCTTCCATTGGAGGAGAAAATGAAAGTTATTCACGACAAGAACCATCGCGGTTACACGCCCTTTGAGGAGGAAGTGCTGGACCCTGGTACTCAATCCAGAGGTACGCGACTAAACCTCTTATCTTCAGCAAACCTCAGTCTATTTCCATAGAAGTTTTAATTAAGGGGAGGAATTTTCGTAGGAAATCAAACTGTGACAGGGGATGGTGCATGTGGGAGCAGGTGATTCGAAAGAGGGATACTACATAGGGTTTTCAGTTCCAGAGAGTGATCCTCGCTCCAAGAAACCTATGCATGGGCCGAATCAGTACCCCTCTCCAGGTAAACTATAGGCTTTCAAATTATACTCACTCACTTGTGCATCCGGGTCTTGAACTTGAGATTATTCTTTTGAGCGGAACACTCATCGTATATGATTGTACAAGCAATTTCGTGTTAATAATGAGGTTATTTCGGGTGCAGATTTGTTACCGGGGTGGGAGGAGACCATGACCCTTTATCATAGTGAGCTCGTGTAAGCTGCTCACTGCTTTGCCTTGGTTTTACAACCCGTAGTTTGAGAAGGAAATGCTGTAGTAAACTGGAACTATAGATTAGTTTGTTGAGTAGTTGATCAGGTCTTTGCTACGGTTTATATCACTAATGCGCCTTACTGATATTGTAATCGACGTTGCATTGTAGTAAACTTTCGAAAAGGGTGTCTCGGTTGCTTGCATTAGCACTGGACCTGGAGGAAACGTTTTTTGACAAGCCGGGCATCACTGATGATCCTGTAGCTACTCTACGACTTCTTCATTATTCTGGTTGATCTCACTATCCAGCCTTCTAAAGAATCAGTCGTCTCATCACAAGCTTAGTCTTTACATTTTTTTTTAAATGTTTTTTTAGTCCACAGCAGATGAATTGAAGTTTTAGAAGTTGCCATTATTTACTTGAAGGTTTTAGCTGGTCTTAATTCATCTTTTTGACTATTTTTGATTGTTTTTGTTGAAATATCACTTAAAATAGTTCTCACACAGAGTCTTGTTGATGTGCAGCGGAGAAATCGAATGTTGAACTTGGAATATTTGGCACTGGTGCTCACTCTGATTATGGCTTGTTGACTCTTCTTGCGACGGACGACGTGCCTGGTCTGCAGGTCGATGACTAACAATTCTACTGTTTCCGTTCATGAATGATGTTTTAAAAGTTCTACATCTTTTAAGAATGTATTTTTCTCGTAGATAGATAAATGAACGACTTGGCGATCAGATGATTTACACATGGTATCGCTGCTACAGATTTGTAAGTATAAAGATGCCCAGCCTCAGGTTTGGGAGGACGTTCCACCAATGAAAGGGTAGGTCATTAATAGGCAAGCAAGCCTGTCTTGACTGCTCCTATTATTGCAGAATTCTCCCGGTCAAAAGCTGGACTGTACCGTGGCCCTTGTTATGGACTTAAATCTGTGTCCATGTTGTCATCTGTAGAGCTTACATTGTGAATCTGGGCGACATGCTTGAGCGGTGGAGCAACGGTCTCTTCCGGTAGTGCACTCTTCCCGTGCTGTGAAGTGCAGGAAAAATCCTTGATATAGCTTGGGCAGGCTTTCCTGCTGAAATAAAAATATGCAGATTAGTGTGATGCAATCTATTCTTTGGAGTTGAACTAACAAGTGTATCTGGTTTTCTTTGTGTAGATCGACTCTTCATCGAGTCGTAAGCCGGGGAATTGAAAGATACTCGGTAATATTCCAAATGCAGAAACCACCCATTTTTGTTCTCAACATTCTTCGACACGCTAATTCTTGCACCTGCATTGAGCGATCAGAAAATCAAGATCTTGTAGTAGTTTAGTGCCTCTGACTGAGAGTACACCTGGATGAATTGCAGATACCTTTCTTCTTTGAACCCAATTTTGACTGTTTGGTCGAGTGTCTGCCAACGTGCTGTTCAGAGGATAACCCTCCTAGGTGAGGACTCAAAACATCATATCTCTTTTGCTTGTGTGTTCCAATTCTAGTTTCAAATCCCAGAATCAATCTCCAGGTAAGAGCACGAGGTCCTTAGCATTGAAGCTTTTGGCTGTGTGCGTTTTGTTGCTGACAATCTCATCCTCGTTGGGTCCAGATATCCACCCTTGACGGTTGGTGAGCATCTTGTGAACAAGTACAAAGAGACGCACAAAGGGTTTGTGTCCGATCAGAAGAGCTTGAATTATAGTCTATTTGAAGGACAATAATGAATGACATACGGTGTGAAGTTCATTGACCTGTTTCATTACGAAACTGGTGCTACCTGGACGTTAGTGAATGGCTATGTTAGTAATGATGCCTCTAATCCCTTAACAGGTTTCAGAAGTCAAGTAGCGAAGCAGTCCCTGTTCCACCCATTTCCATAATCTGTCCCTGCGTGGGTTTCAGCAGCCCTTGTCCTCTACATTGTTGGTATCTGACCTGCCCATTTTTACAAATTTGTAAAATAATATAATTACTCTTGAAAAGCCCTTGCTAAGGGATATTTAATGATTTATGATGGAATATTGCCTGAATTGCGTCACACTTGCAACAAGGTTTGTAGTGCTTGTTTTACACTTTTATGGAAGTAATCACAGGTACATGACGCAGCAGGAAATGGTCGTTTCCATAACAGAGACCAGAGAGATTGTGGTTTGAACGCCCTTATATGGCCGCTGCTATTGGAGACGTATGTTTCCAACCTATGGATCCCGGTTTACGAAGGAAAATGTCGCAGTAGAAACTCTCAAACACGGCTGAGATGCCCTAATTTCTGTTACCAATCGTTAGAATAATTTTAAATCTCGACTAGAGTGTTATAATCTGGCACAAAAGACTAAACTTTGGCATACTGTTTTTGTAGTCTCAAACTTGAATTGAGCAGGGGAGTCCCATCCAGTTACATTCGGACATTGCTCCACACTGAACTCTCAATCGCTCTCAGATGTTTCAGATTCCTGTAGTACTCATAATACTGCCACGCAGCACCCACTTTGCGATTCGGTGTCCCCAGCTCACTGATTATCACTAGATCCTAGAACTCTTTCCAACACCGTGAATGAGGGAGATAAGGCTTTTCATGGAATGTGAAAGCAAAGGTAGAATTTTACTCCTTGAATGAAAAATTGAGAATTCCACTCATTTCAATTGCTGTTAACATTTGTTACCATAAGCAGTGAATTTATGTTACAGCGTGCAAGGTTGTACATTGGCTTTAAAGATGGGGAAGTATAACCTTTTTACGCAAGCAGTCATCAGTCACTGCTAAAAAATGAGTTCACAAGTACACGCTGCTGCACAAGCAAATTCCAAATTCATATGTAACTCTCACATCAGACAGTTCTCATGAACTTTTACAAAGACATTCCTATGCATAGTACACAAGGTCAATGATTAAATCAGTCCGCTGCTTGAAGCCCACACACACGCAACATCATCTATAAAAAAATTAAAATTCAAAAATGAATGAAAGGCACTGTGGTAGTGCTCACCAATTACAGTTACACACAAAATAAAATAAAAATTAAACCTGACCAGAAAACTCCTAAACCTCGACCCACCTCCAGCTTCACATACACTCAAGGAGTAGTAATATCACTACTCGAGGGCTAACTTATAGTTTACAATCCGTATGCTCAAGGAGTAGCAACAACCTGTCCATCAAAACCAATTCAAAGCTTAAACCTTGACCTCCAGGCTCAATTACAACTGACCTTTCCTAGGCTCAAGGGACGGCGTCCCACCGCAGCTTGCACATGAAAGTATCTCGCAGCATTTCATAAGTGTAGTAATGATTCAACACTGGAAGGCTATGCCAAACTTCAGTAGCGACGTCATAGACTCTTAAAACTTGATGACGGTTCTCGTAAATGCCTTCCATACCTTCGTTGTTGAATGCGGCAATTAGAATGTAATCCTCGCTTGAGCAGAGCTTCAGTTTATAGCCATTGGGAACCTCCTCTAGGATGCTCTGGTAAGATTTCATCTTGACTAGCTCCGTTACACTGTTTTGCCACAGAAACTCTGAGACTTCGTATGTCAATGAATGCGGGTCTGCACACTCGCACTCGTATAGAGCGAAAATGCGGTCTCGAATGGTGGCGAAGCCTTCGACTAACTGACCTTGAAGGGACGGGTGGTTCTTGAGATCATATAGCATCCCTGACGTGCAATCAAAAACAAAGGGAGCGTTATTACTTTGTCCTTCATCTGTTGTATCACCAGTTCCATAGACTATGCCAGAGCCCATTGTGCCCCACAACCCCATCTCAGAGTCGTAACAGTCCGCTGCGATTCTTCCACGAGGCCTATCCCTGTAAACCACCATTACCTTGTAACATCCTGAGGTTTCGGCCTCCACCAGCAATTGCACCATCAGAGGCTGCTTCATGCTCAAATCTATCAGAGGTAGGGCTCGCCAATCGTCTGTAATTGGATTACAGATAAGAATTGGGAGAATTTCTTGGTCCATTCCGTAAGGCGGGACAAAGCAAACTAACCCCCCGTCGTGTGCATACATTGAATTCACTCTATACACCCATGGAAGTCTATTGAGAGCATGGTAACACCATTTGTGGGTTTTGAAGTCGAAAGCTGCAACCCAAAATTCCTCAAGATAATGATTATTTCCTAACATTCCAAAGAGCTTAGAATGAGCCTCGTCACAGACTCGTCTGAAGCTGGACGTCTTCAAAGTTGTTTGCCACGTCTTGGAGAGACCCTGGATGGCAAAAATCTGGCGCAGAGGAAGCCGAGCAAACACGAGACCAAGTAAATGCTCAGGAAACCTGCTCCATAGCCATGGATCCATCACCTCGGCGTGATATATACACGAGTGTCTACAAACCCCTGAACCGATTGTAGAAGCGCCAGAGTCCCTTTCTACTGATTCTAAGCCGGAGATGCGTGCCGCCTTAGGTATACCTGGAGCGGCGAGTAATGAGAATGGCTCCTTCTGAGGGATCACGTCGCGGGGAGGATAATCAGTTGCTTGGGTAATGTCTTGCATTGCCAGCAACACTTCCAATGCTATAGCCGATTTAATATCGGCAACTAATGATTCCACCATCTGTTTTAACATAGAGACGACTAGTTGAAGGTCCGGCCCGTCCTCTTGATAGCCATTGAAATCAATGCCGGGTGAGGATGTTTCATTCGCCAAAAGGGTTTCTACTTCATTTAACTCCGCAAGGCTGTTATCAAACCCGCGGATCACTTGGCCGATCCTGTGCAAAGCGCCCAGAGTGTTTTGTTTGGAAGTGCCTTCTAGAGAAAGCCGGGCCATTGAGATTGAATCACACCGAGGATAATAGATCAGCCTATACCATTTGCCTCCACTTTACTGATATAGAACCCTCTCAACTGCAGAACCGTGAGCTGATACCAGATTTGGTCGCATCGAAGGGTAATCAAGAGATGTAAATGCTGTCGCGATGGACAAGAAATCGAGAATGCCACAATTTCCAAACTAAAGACTCCATAGCGCAAATGCCACAGAGGCAGATAAGCTAAGCTGGGAAGAGTAATATTCCCGCTTCTGAGAATTCAGTTGAGAGTTTATGCCTGGTCCAACGGATAATGCAAAAACTTAGTATTCACAGCAATAATAGGAATAAAACAAGGCAGTCCCGGTCATTACGTCATCTCTGAGCTACTGTGCCGCAGAGCACAGAAAGAAGAAAAGCGAGAATCACCGCCGGAAAGCCCCTTAACCGCCAAGCAAATGAACAACACTTACACACACACGCACGCACTTTTCAGGATCAATTGTGCGCGAGCTCTCAAAATCCCCGTCACCAGCCCCAGTTCTCAAACCCCCCTCTCTAGCAGATTAAGCCCAGCAAAACACCCGCCAGCGGTGACCATCCTCGAAACGTGCACAATACAGGGACCGTTCTCTGCATCAGCTGAGGATAACCTAGCAGCTTGAGCTTATCAGATTCTCACAGATGACAGCTCCGTCCCGTGTTGCGGCGGCTTCCTCCAAGTCTACGTACGTATTCCGAATGTGTACGACCCACGCATCGGTTGCCGATTGACTGATGCCTAAGAAAACACATACGCCAATGACTAACGCTAGTGTAACCATGCGAACTTCGTAAAGCTCAGGGCCGTCAATAGTAAATCCGTTTCCAGATATAAGAATTCCCAACATATTGGGCCAGTGGGCAATCGCCCAAATCTTACCTTCTGGCGTTGTCAATGGCGTGGATCACGGATGCGTCTTATCGACTGCCTGGATGACCGCCAGCTTGCGTGAATATTCTAGAATGTCACCGGACTGAATGCTGTGTTGGCGGCGCCTTATTGGTCTTCAATAGGGAGTTCTCTCGTGGGGCCCTTGCCGAACCCGTCCTGCCCTTCGGGCCGTATCTTGCCCCCGTAGTCGCCATATCCAGGCACTCATGGCTATGAGAAATTGGTTATTCGGTCGTCTCTCCAGAGTGGGTTCATGACATTATCCGCCGTTTCAGCAAATCTTGCCCGGGGCTCTCCAGGAAATTGTTATGATTTATAAGCTGGGTGCGAATACTCTTTTGGTGCAGTCAATGCGTGAATTGTGAATTTCTCTCGGTGAGTAGAAAGATGCTTTGAGAATCGTCGTTTGGTCTGCTTCAGTTGGGAATGACAGGGTTGGAATAATTTTTGTGATCAATTTTTTGGTTCGTATGAGTACGTTGTCGTTCGGATTTTTTTTCTTCTGTAGAGCTAAATCTGAGTGCATTCCGGCTTTCTTCTCGACTTGACTGGCGTTCTGCGATTGAAGCGCTTCATGTCGAAAGACAATGTCTTTACTTAGGGTGCATTCTGTCGCCGTTTAGTTGTGTCTCTTGTAAAAATAAATCTGAGAAACATATACTGGTGTGAATTTCACGGTTTCGAATCTTGTGTGGAGGTTTCGTATGCATACTGAATCTTGGAAGAATTATATTGTAATTGTGTTTCTTGGAGAGAAGCAGTTCCCGTCGATGCCTGGTGATTTGTAGTCGGTGGGTCTCATCGAGCGTCAGTAGATGACCTTCTGCTGCTTTTTAACCCATCAATTGCTCCCTATATGCAGTTTCTCGAACACTTTTTGTTTGGATAAATTTAGTTATAATGTGATTATGGTCGAAGATAACCGTCGAGACAGCTTACACATGAGCATCTGTCTTCCTTCAGTCCTAGCCGATTTAGGTCGATGTGCCAAATCGCATTGTATCTGTGATTAATTCTAGGAAATCCAAGCACTCCTCGTTCACATGCTCTGATTTTAATTTTGATTTACATCTATATGTTTTGATGTACTGATAATCTCTCTCAACTTCTGATGATTGATCGATCATACAAAGCTCGAACTTTTGAGATCTAACAAACTAATTTCAATAGGTGCAGAATAGGTTTTCGAGGAGCGAGTTCTGTGTGAGTGTTTTATAACATTCTGTCATATTCGCCATTCTTAGCGATGGAGTGTGCTTTTCGGATTGGACAGAGAGAGGCGAATGCACAAAGAGCGGCACATCCAGCATTGGCAAGATTTGTCCATGTGTTACGTACCTTTGGAGACTGCACCAAGGAATTGGGGAGTATTGAGGGGATTTTGGTTGAGGAGAATCTGGGAGTTGCAAGAAGCGCATGGAAGGAAGAGCTACATCTCGTGGCGGTGAATACGCGGGGGAGACTAACCCAGTTGATTCAAGAGGCACAAGCCAATTTGTCTTTACTATCACTGGGAGAGAAGCTTCATCCTACTTTAGAAGAGTCTGGAGAATCCGATGGAACGACCATATCTTCAATTGTTGTAGGAAATGATGTCCACCACGAAGAAATGTTGGGACATAAAAGTCAATCTCAGCGATGGTGTTCACATGCATGCGAAATCCACCATGAGGTGATGAACCCTGATCTATGGGGAAAACTTCCTGAATACCTCCTGGAGCTCACCTTTGCTCGACTGCCGCTAAACAAAGTTGTCCAGCTACAGAGTCTCTCTAAATACTGGAGATTCGTTGTCCAATCTTCGAAGCCGTTTCAAGAAGCCTGCTCCGGATTTAACTTTAAACGATTTGCGCTCGTGACTTCTAACCAATGCCGCGACTGTAAGATTCATTTCTGTGATGTGAGGGAGAACAAGTGGTTCCTCAAAGTAATGGATGCCGTGTCCCATGGTTTCTGGGCAAGTCCGGTGATTGCTGCCGGAGGCTTGCTCTGTATTGTGGACCTCCATCAACTAAGCTACGGTGCTCTGTCTATCTCCGTGTGCAATCCCTTAACTAGCAAGATCCGTGTGCTGCCTCCACTTACAGAATTTAACCGGTGGTTTCCAAAGATGGTGCAATTATTGGTGGATGATCTCACAGGAAATTACAAGCTTGTTGTGGTGGGCTCTTCGCATCGAGCACCGGATATTTTAATGATGGAAGTTTATGACTCACAGAAAAGGTCATGGGAATCGAGCGATGTAAACCCCGTTCCTGGAAAGACGTACCGGGACAGTCCCACTTCAATTTGTGGCTATGACTTTAGTTATGATGGTCAGTATGAGGGTCTGGTTAGGTTTGACACTAAGGATCGGTACTTGTACCGGCTCTCTTTTCCTTCTCATCCCAACATGGTGCAACCCCCCACGAAGAATGACATTGGAATGTGCAATGGTGATGTGTTTGCTGTTGTTAGCACCGTAAGAAACAAGGAGTCGCTGTTCAAGCTTTGGGTAGATCCCTTGACGGGCGATGCTGTGTGGATACCACAGGATTGTGCTTCATCATCTTACTCTGGTGCCAGTGAACTTGTTTCTTTTCCTCGTTCTTACAGCAAGCGAGTATTTGTGGCGGGGAGATTCGTGCTCGTGGCTGCGGATAATAGAGAGAGGGCTGATCTCAATCATCACCAGATTCTGATGCTGAAGGACTTTTTGGGTCATAGCGCGTGGATTCAGTTGCCTAAGTTGGGAAAAGGGGAGAAGTGCGACATGTGGGAGTTAGATCATGCAATTATGATGGAACTTAAATTGGATGCAATCCCTTGAGTTTTAAGGTATTTTACCCTCTTCTTGAAGCCCATGCTTTCAAGCATTACTAAGCTCTTTTAAAGGCACGAGGAGAAAGAAATCATACATAATTCATGCTTGATCCTAGAAATGCTTTATGCATGACGGATTTTCAACATGTATGCATGGGTTGTACATGATCCGGTGCAGTCGAATAATGTGACGTTTTCTGTTTTGCTTCATGAATGCAGCTTGAGAAGAGTACGTCGTGTTTCCAGTAAGTTGCAGACGAGTGAAAACTCCAATGAACGACGTGGAATAAGATCAGCATCTAAGCTGATATGATGTAGGGGTAATTTTCTAACGATGATTTCCATCAATTGGCCTCGAAATATTGTTTTGGAACATGTTTATGAACGAACCATGAAACTATTGACATGCAGAAAATGAAGTTAAATTTGAATTTAACAAAAGCTTCTTCATGCAAGTACACAACTGTACCAACCTGTCCTTATTCTGCGTAAAAGCTGTTCAACGATTTAGGATGTAAACATCAGGCTAATAGTGGTAATTATCATCAGTGTAAGAGTTTATAATTTATACACTATAATAACACAATCGATATTGCTGTGCGCAACTTTCATCATATGATGTGTAACTTTCAGCAAATAATTTTATGAGGACAATCTTGTATCTATATGTGTGTTTGTTTGAGAAATTATGTTTTATTCACATCAAAACCAAGTTCTTCTTTCTTCTTGCAGTATTGTATTCTTGCCTGTTGTTGTTTAAGTCGGCAATTAACCGATTTCTTCTTTTGACAGCATTTTGAAGACATATTTTATGAAGAGAATTTAATTAACGTCAGAGTCCAAGATGCACAACAAAAGGTAATAAGAATCAATCACTTCATTATTTTTGTGTGTTAGCAGATCATCTAATTCTGGCCCTTTGAGGGCATTATTTTCAAAAGAGAACTTAATTTGTGACAGCATCGAAGGCGCACGTTTTTGTTATGTAAAAATATTAAAAATCACCCGTTTCACCACATGTTGCACATTAAAAAATTACCTGTAATGACATTTCGTATTTGGAATACATTTTGTACATAACAATTAGTTATTACATTATTTCACAGCACAATTTTTACTTCTGATTCTTGGTTTGGATGTGAAGCCATACGGAAGTAGATACAGAGAAGAAAAACAGTACTCATTGAGATAATTAGTTTATTTCTATTCAAACCCAAAACCTATACAAGGGAAAAAATTGGTGATGAGGAAATTTATCACAGTTTGAGATTTATTTATATGAAACTTAAATATATCATTACATCATTTTTAAAACATAAATAAGATAACATTAGTAGTATCTTCATCCTTCGTTCATTTCTCTTTGATATAATTTTCTGTATAATATAATATCAAATTGTTTTAGTAGCATAATTTCTTTTAAATGAGATTATCGAAATTGAAAAACTAATCTGATTCATTTACAGATTTTTTGTATGTAGTGAAAATTTATACTAGTTTTAAGTAAGAAATTATGCAAAAGAAAACAGCATGCATCATTCAAAAAATACAAAACATATCGAACAGGTCCAAAAATACATGTTTATACGTTTCTTCTTCTCTGAAAATATCCAATTAAAATTAAGGACTCGTCCTCAACTCCAAATTTTCAAATGGAACAGAATCACCCGCACTGCAACAGCTTAACTGACTACAAAGCTGAAGAGAGCTTCTAAACCAAACCAATTGACCACTATGGGCATGTTACATGAGGCTACTGGTATCTGGTCGGAGGTCAGCAGGAAGAGATTGAGTCGGAACAGATTTGACGTCAGTAGGATCTGACTGCAGCATGGGTCGCTTGCCTGTTTCTTTCAACAGACCTTCAGCTAGATGCTGCTTGGTGGGTGTCAACATGACGTAATTGGGATCAGCTCGCTCGTAACTGGAGTCATGACATATCCCCCAAATAAAATAATGAGTGACAACCTCGAAATTTACTACACCTCTGAGGCAGCATAAGCTCCCGACTGGTTATGTCTTCCTCAAGAGGATACATTTCAGCATATGCGAGAGATTAAAATGATTAAAATAATCAAATGATCAAAATTAACCGAGTTGCAATGTTCAAGCTCATTGCCAACAGATGAAACATAGCTCAACAAGTACAAACCTGACGTCTCCGAAATTTTCAACGCGTATACCAAACCCGAGATCTGTCAATCCGATCTTGTGGTCTCTAACAGCTGCACGAAAGGAGGGAGAAAAAGAGAACATGAAAACGTTAAGTTGGAGTTGAACCCCTCTTCCTATCTTCAAAAATATCAAAGCAATGTGGTTTATACTTGTAGAAAAAAAGGAGGGTGCTGAGGAAAAGCCGACTAAGTAGATAATATAAACCACAAAAGAATCAGATTCCAAGTTATACCTGCAAGAGAAAGTGTTACAGATGGTTGCCACCACGACTTCAATATGACGGTTACGCCTGAACTTCGAGATCCCAGTTTGGCCTAGAATGAAGAGGCAACAGATGAGTTTACCAGTAAATCATTTCATTTGTACAGTGAGTGAGCTTCTGCCGGAAATGACCGGTTATATTGCGGCCTAACAAACAATTATTGGTGGCATTACAATGAATTGCAGAGGTGTGACATAATCTTAGACTGCTTGAAAAAGGAGCAATACAATTCTTACAAGAAATCATACTAAATGCAGCATGGTAATCATGTAATGACAGGCTAAGGATCCATGTCATTATCCCTAAGACATGAGAGCGTCACCTTCACTTGAACATTCTTATTCGCCTGCCAGGATCCAGCTACTTGCACCTTCGGAGCCACTGAGGCATTGGCCTCATTAGATTGTGTCACATCTGCTTTCAGTCTGCACATACAATCAACTTGTTTAGGATAGATATATGTAGTCGAAGTTGTGATCCAGTATTCAGACAACAGCCTACCCATCATTTAAGTTACAGTAAAAAAGTCTGTCCATTAATCTTTGCAAATCATCTAGTATAACACTTGGCCTCTGTTATTATGAGATTTTGCACATGGCAACCTAGATTAGTGTAGATTATACTGCTTCCAAGGCTTAGGAGTAATGAAAGAAGCATACGTGTGCTCGAACTCGAACCCCAGATCCACGTAATTGGTGATAGCAACCACCTCTTTAATTTCAAATGGGTTCTTCACCTGCATACATAAACAAAACGACAATTAGAGTTCTCAAAACCCACACATTTCAAATGGACAGACCCCTATCCCTTCAGTGGATTCAAATCATAAAGTGGGATAACATCAATACAGCACGAGGTATGTATAGAATGTGCAGCGAATAACGTATTTAAGGTAAAAACTAACCCTTCTTTGGACAACCAGATGATGGTAGTAAGATGCAATGAGCTGGTCCACGATAGCAATCAGAAAAGTGATGGATTAGAACAAGCTCGTGAAATCCTGATCCATGAATATTGTGGATGAAACTTTTCACGAATCTTAATCGAATGTGGCAATTAAATTCGCCTAAACCAACACTGAAAAAGCATCATACATTCACAAACAACAGGACTTTTGACACATTAAAAAAAATTGATACGGCACAAATTAGGAGTCTAGAATGACGTAGATGCATAAAAAGATAAACATGACAGAATTTAGTTTATAGTTAAAGAAAATTAATTAATATAACCCAAAAAAGGGTCAAAAGAGTAGAGTACCTTAGAGTTGTCACAAAGTTCTACGCAAAAATTGAACGATGGTTCCAAAGGACTCTTGCTTCCAACACCATAGTCAATGGCATAGCTCCAACTACCATTCTCAAAGCTTTTCTGCCCTATTATCACTCACAGCACACACAAAGCTTAGGTCAGTTTCCAATACTCAAAAAAGTAGAAACAAGCAAGCATGCACGCAGTAATCTTAGCAACTTATAGACATCCCAGCGACGGCAGCAGACTTTTTTCTACAGAATTTCGTTGTATCCGTTCATCACTTTCAGTTACCTCACTGGCTCACCATAAGATACAAATAGACTATATTGCATACGTCCTTGATAATCCACGACAAGGAAATGGTATACTTCCTCACCTAAAGACTTGAACTGAGCGCCCATAGTAATAGGCCCCAATTTTCCACAAGCCCAAGCACAAGTGGGGACCCATTGACTTGTTGGAGTTCCAGACCCTGCTCATTAAAAAATTAGCACTTCAGTGCATTGCAATTTTCATATTGCATGATTGGACGGTTATTTCTTACGTCCATCATATGGTGCACTAATTAAGTTAGGGTGCTAGCAAAACCTGAGCCGCGCCCGATATCAATTGGCGTAAAATTAGCAGAATAAGCAACTCAACATATAAGAGACTTTCCTACAACACAAGAAAAACGTACATAAAACAAAGGCCAAATGTAGAAGGCATTACACTGAAGTGGAGAGACGCTAGTGCCCATTGTAAACTGATGCGTAGCATAACGAGCTCCCAGTACAACATTGTCTGCAACTCTTCCCCTAAAATTCAGATGAAAATGCATCAAGTCTTGATCGCCTTTCTAATGTAGCGGTTCTTTAAAGATAAGTTTGGACCAACCTTCAAGCAATCTTTGCACTACCGTCATCCCGCGCTTGATGAAGGAATACTGAACTCATTTCTTATGAAGTAATATGAATGCGAAATTTGAGGTCGATGGAATAAATCTTCAGAATGGCTTACAGCTTGGTTGGGTTGAGAGGTAGCACAGTCCACGCTCCAAGTCCCTTTTTGGTATCGAACATACAAGCTCGTACTTTCATCGGACTACAACACAACCATTTACATTGAAATCAATCCACACTTGTCAAATTGAAAGTATACTCTGATCCAAGAACAGAAACATGATGTTCAAAATGTCACCTGCCAACGCTGGAGATGGAAAGATCTCCAAAATTATCAGGGTCCATAACATCCCTGCAATGTCAATCCAGCGAGCGTGTAAGAAATTACAGATGTCATTAAAATTACGACACCAATCAACGTGAATGCAGCCATCACTCAATCAAAACCCAAGAAAATGAGGCATGCTTTACTACAGAATACTTTCACAATACCCTCTAATCTCTACCAAGCGCTTATCCACTCTAGGATAAGAAATCGATAGGGCCATCGAAACTCTATTCAAAACCAACAACCAAGTCAACTTTCCCCGGCAATACCAATTTTTAGATGACTGAAACCTGAGCAAGAAGCAATTCTTCATATATGTATTGTCAAAAATAATGGTAAGCAAAGTCATTGACATTTCTAGGGTTTAGGACTTGCAACTCACCGCTGCCACCGAAATACAGCCTCACCATCAAACGAATCCATAGTATCTCGATCAGTAGGAGCTAGCACCTGAAAGCAAGTAGGCTGCTCAATTCAGGATGGTCCAAGAAATACATTTTACTGTCTCAAAAACATTCAGTTGGATCAGAAACTCAAGCATCTCATCCTCTTGCTCTAAAAGAAAAGATCGAATTGTCACGAGGAATTACCCGGGCAGTGACATCAACATTTGGATCGTCAGCGGGTTGCAAGACAATATGGGCCAATATATTCCGAGACTCGTCAAAGTACATGTTAAAGAGACGGGCCCGAGCCAACTTGCTAAACATTAGGTCATATGACGATTCTGTCATCCTGCATGACCCCCACAATCCCATCAGAACACAAACCATACAGTCTCCATCAAAAGTTCAATATTCCATTCATTGAACTAGAATGGAGAAATTCTCTGCAACTGCACCAACTAAATCTAATTTGGCGGGATGAAACTTCCGCAAAATCGCTCTCAAAAACAAGACACGGAAAAGAGAACAGAGAATGCTCACAAAATTCAGCTCTCAAAACCATGAAACTCAAGGCATGTCTTGCACCACAAAATCACTCTAGAGCGCGCCCCGAATTTTAAAAACATGGAGTTATTCTCACAAGGATCCAATTCAGCATCAAAGAAAAGAAATAAGAAAAAACATCGAAACACTGGCGGCAATTGCTAAAGCAAAAGATGAAATGAAATAGGTACTTGTGATCAGCTGAAGGTCAAATCGAAAAAAGTAAGATGAATCTAGATCAAAATCGAAATTTCACAAGGCTGTTGAATGTCACCTGGACCGAGTGGCAAAATGAGGACGCTCCAATAGAGGTGGCACCAAAACCACCGGCGGAGGCGGCTCCTTCTTGCTAATCCAGTTCCCCATAATTTCAAAACTGAAAGTCCACTCACAAACAAACTAGATGAACTTCGAGGGAAACGGGCTCGACCAGATTCTCAGTACATTGCAAGACGGCAAATGACAGAGCGAAAGGGGGAGTTGGAGAAATGGGAATAGCCTCTGTAGCAGAAGGAGGAGAAGGAGGAATGGGAATAACCTCTGTAGCAGGAGGAGGAGGAGGGAGGGAAGGAGGGAGGGAGGGGGATTTGCTGAATGAAGGAACGCTGAATGAAGCAAGCACACACACAATGGCGCCACACACACAGACTGAGACACACACTATGAGACAAATGAGACAAATGAGACTAGACTGAGCTTCGGCACTGGAGGAGCCCTGCTTCCACATCACTCACTCCTTCCTTGACACGTGCCTCCCTCCCTCTCTCTGGTTGAATGAATGAAGGGTCTTACAAGTTGAAAGAAAGTATTTCAGGATGCAAACTGACGTCGGATGCGGGGGATGAGATTCTTCGTTTGTTGGCTCTGATCCGAACCATTCACGCCGGGAAGGAAACAGGTCTCCGGAGGTGGTTGGAATGTGGTTGTCGTTGTATTTTGAAAAGAAGAAAAAATTTACAGATCAATCAACAAATAAAGCTAAAGAATTCCAAAATCTTTGCATGTTGCAAAACATTTCTAGAACACTCACGAAATTTCTAGAAAAGAACACTCACTAACCTTCCAACAATTGTAACATTCTCCAAAATTAAACCTCCACTTCATTCTAATGAGGTAGATGGCAGCAAACATTCCAAACCAATTTGTCTTTATCCCAATGCTTTGTACAACCATGGTAAGCTGGATTTTTGGCAATAGCAATGACATTCTAGTTATCTTCATGAATAAAAACCCTTTCCAGGTCAAGAGTATCATAATCTGTAAGTACTTTACAAAGCCACAAAGTCTCTATCACTGCAGCAATCAAAGCTACATATTTTGTTTCCATTGACAAAACAAAAATTAAAGATTATTTCTTATTTGATTAAGTAATAATTGTCTCATTCAATACAAATGCATAACTTCCTTGAAAAGGGACTAGACTATCTCAAAAATCCAAGATCATTCTGATCCACAATAACATAAGGCCTCATCATAAAATATGACAAATAGAATAGAACAACTAAACATAATAAGACATGAAAGACAAAATTGAACAAATAGAAACAAAACAGAATAGATCTGAATAGAAAGATGTAGAATCAAACTTTATTAAGAGAAAGGATTCAAAGCCATACCTAACCAGATGCTTCAAAAGGCCTTAGCTAGTCTTATTTATACCTTGTCCTATCACCCTGGACTTTCTAAAATATTCCTAGGTAGTCGGCTCCACCTAAATAATTATCTTAAATTCTTTTTTTAGAAGGTTCTATGGTGAGTCTCACCTAGATAACCATCCTAAATCCTTTCTTGAATGTTCTACAGTAGATCCTATCTAGTCCATTAACCTAACTCCAATTCTAAAAACTTCCATGGTTTTAATTATCTATATAATTATCTTATCTATTTCATGTTACACTCCTAGTAAATGATGCATCTCCATACAACCATTTCCATCTCCATCTCTATCACTATAGCCTACAAGTTGTACATTTTCTTCTTTTCCTCTATATTATAATACCAAATATTTGATTTCTTAGAAATAATAAAAAATTTGTTTAGTTCTTTGCAAATGTAAAACATTATAGATATGCCAAGTATTGAGTAAAGTATTGAAAAAAAATATAATATCATACCTTGTACCATTTGCAAGATATAATAATAAATCTAAAGCTTTTTGAGAAAGCTTTATATCTTTTGCATCCAAAAGATTATTGTTCTCATGCCTAGTGACATAAATTTATATCATTTATGTAACAATTGTCTTTGCATCTTTCATCCCAAATTCCTCCAACTTTTGATAAATGTACTTAGTTTGGCTCAAATTAATAATATCATTTTTCTTATCTTGTAAAAAATCAATGCAAAGAAAATCACTAGCTTCACAAAGGTCTTTCATTTTGTAGCACTCTTACAATTCATCTTTGCATTTTATAAGGATTTCAAAGTTCTTGCCACTAAAAAGTATTTCATGGATATAGATAATTAATATAAAAAATAGTTTCTCAATGTACATTAAGTATAATCAAGAGTCTGATTCTAAACACTTTCAATGAAGATTCAATAAATATTTATCCAAAATTTTATTCTATCCATGTTTAGATTGCTTCAAATCATATAAAGCCTTTAGCAATTACAACACCTTATCTTTGTATTTTAATAGAACTTCTAAACCTTCTAGAATCTTCATATAGATATCCTCTTCTTTAAGTTGACTATAAAATAAGCTAAAACAACATCAAGTTGTAATATATTCCAATGAAGGATAGTAGCAATTGTAACAAATATGCAAATTTTTGCAATGCAAGCAACTAGTATAATTTTTTTTTAATAATTAAGAGTCTTCACTTAAATAAAATCTTTTATAATTAATTATATTTTAAAATATTTAATATATCTATTATTAGTAATATAAAAAAAGTCTATTTTAAATTCACAACCTTTTTATTATTGAGTAAAAATAAAAATTTCTATATACCATGATCTTTTAAAGAATTGAATTCTTTCTTCATAGCATGACTCTACTCTTTACAAAAAGGTGAATTCATAGCTTGCTTAATAGTCTCTGCTTTGGCATATTCATCAACATGAATCACATCCATTGTTTCAATTGGCAAATCATGATCTCTTTAAATAAAATTTTTGCCTTTTTTCCAAGGCATGCAATACATCCTACTACCTTTTATAATATTTGTTGAATTAATGCCATCTATATAACTACATATTAATGATAGAGCTTGAGTGGTTGCCTCCTCTTTTGCTTAATGAAATTCCACTACTTCTGTTGATATAGGATTTACTTTTTCTTCAACCATTTTTCTATCAAATCCATCATACACATATAAACTTGAGGCTTAAAGTTGAAATATTTCTAATTCACTTAGATGTTGTAAATCTAGTAAATCAAAATTATTTCTATAATCCATGTCTTTGTTAATTTTTTCTTAAGGAATCAGTTGTTTACTAAGTAACTCATTCCTATTAATAAGAAAAATCACATCTTGAGTAAAGATAATCTTCTTTCTCTCAAGAAGAAATTTTTAATATTCTTTTGTCACTTTTGGATATCTAGCAAAAATACCCTTTTTTAATCTTTGTATCAAACATTTGAAATTTTTCCTTTGATATGTAATACTATCATAGACATACACATGTAAACTAAAAATTATATATATAATTTAGATGAAAGTAGGTAAAATTAGATTAATTCCATAATATCTTCTACACAAGCTTCATAGACACTCCTTTGATTTTATAGATATCTATAATTGACTTTTTAGGTTAGAAACATAGTTAATAAGTTGGCCATGTGCCATACATGTTGGTAGCTTGAAAAATAAGCTAACTATGTAGCCTACACATAGAAAACTTGCCTTGCAAGCTATGGCATGTATCTTGCAAAGTCAATACATATTAGAGGTCCTATAGAACATTGCCAAGTAATTCTTAATTAGATAGTATATATAAAGATAAGAGTGAAGCCCTCTTTACTCTTGTCAATTCTTTTCTTACTTCTAGTCTAGATTTAAAAATATCTAATTTCTTTATCTTTTAGTAATAGCTATTTTAATTTTCTTTTAATATATATATTATTTTATTGTTATTTTATCACTTTTCTTTTAATACGAATTTTTTAGATTTATGCATCTTCTTTTAGTTCATGTCCTTGATAGATTGACAAGAATACATTTACAATATCAATGCTTTGTCTTATCTAGATTAAAAGTGGATTATCCTTTTTTCTTGATAAGTCATAAGCATATTAGAAGTTACAGATTGCCCTCTTTTAAACTAATATTATTCTTAGTATCTTCTTTGTTCTCAAGTCCTCTCTTCTACTTGTCTCAAGCAATATTAGATATTTATTTTCTAAATATTATTATAGTAGAGCTTCTTAAAATGAAGAGTGCAATGGCACAAATATAAGAGCAATTGAAAGAGTTAATGCTTGCGATGTATCAACTCAATTTACCACCACAAGAAGCAACAAGAATTATAAGAAGTGAAGATATAGATATGATTGGAGCTGCTTCAACATCTGCAGCCAATCATGTCCCTTCTCCTACAATGGAACATCTTTCCAATACTAGAGAACCAAGATTTGCCTTACTTGAGAAGTTTGATGGTATAAAATCTAAGTTTTGAAGATTTATCAATCAAGTATACTTTGTGATTGAACTTCAATTCCAAAGCTATTCAACTCTAAGATCACAAGTTAGATTCATTGGTACACTTCTTTCAGATTTAGCATTATCATAGTTTTCATCTTTTTTTGAACAATGAGATCCAATATTGAATAATTTGGAGGCTTTTTTAGCAAATTTTTGATCCATGTATGGAGGACATGATACAACTTGTATTGCAACTAATAAGATTTATATTTTACAACAAGATAATTGATCCGTAATATTATATGCTTTACAATTTTGACAACTTACAACTGATATCAAGTAGGATAATGCTGCACTTATTAGCCAATTTTTTTATAGATTATAATATGAAATAAAGAAATTGATGCTCAACTTACTTGATCTTCAAATATTGAGTCAAGCAATTGACTTTGCCATAAAAAGTAACAATCAACTTTTTGAATTTTAATTTGAGAGTCGAACAAGTGGGCCTCAACATTACTATAATTCAATGGCGATACCAACGCCGCTTCAACACATACATTCAAAAGTAGAGGATATGCAAATTGATGCAATACCTTTCAAACCTCTTGTTGAGCAAGAAATGAATTATTATTGTTAGGAAGAATTGTGCTTATATTGTGGAGAACCTAAGCACATTGTTTAACATTATTCAAAGAAGTGACGCAATTATAAAATGAAGAGTAAAAATATTAAAGAAGATAATATATTAAAAAATGAGTTTGTCTAGCTACATAAGGGATTGTGTGGTTGGAACCTTGTACAATATCTAATGAAGGTCCTATTCTCTCCTCAGAATCCCTTCCTTATTTTATATTAAATATTATTTTAGGACATATATATTATAAAGCCTCTACCTTGTTAGATTTAGGAGCCTCAACATATTTCTTAGATGAAGAATTTGCTAAAAGACTTAACATATCTTTAGTAAGGAAAACTAAACTTGTTCATATAGAAATCATAGATGGTCGCCTATTGTCTTCTAAAGATGCTACTCACAAAATCCTTCCTATAGAAGTAATAATTAATAGTCATAATAGCTTTGTGATATTTA